GTCTCACAAGGATGTTCAAACCAAAGGGATGCCCTCCTCACATCCCTTTGGCATGTCCTCCAAGTCACCAGTGTCACGGTCTTAATCATCTGCGGGTTAAGGCCCTGGGGTAGGGTGTGTTCTGTGTGTGTGTGTGTGTGTGTGTGTTAGCACCGTGTGGGATGGGTTGCAGACACTTAGAAGGGAATCAGAACCAAACCTTGCCCACTGGGCATAGCAGCCGGTTTTCTTGGGGTCCATGTGAACCAGATCATGCGTGCCAGACAGCACACTCGGGCACAGTTGAAGTTGTTGCTTTGTTCCCTTTTTCAAGCCGTACACCCAGCCTGATCGAGGTAAGCAGCTAAGAGTCTTGAATGCAGAGTAAAGAGAAGTGGAAAAAGGAAAGTAAAACCTGGGTCCCCCTCCCCCAAAATGGGAGGGCTCTGCGGTAGGAGAGGAGAGGGTTGGGGAGTTGAGGATTTGTGTGGGAGAAAAACGTCCTGCCTGGTGAGAAGAGCAAGAATTCTGAAAGGAGGCAGCTCCTTTATTGAGTGTTCCACTGGGACTTGTGCCTTGGTGGATTCTTCATATATTACAGTGAATTTAATTAAATACATTGGGATCCCAATTGAGGGTATTCTAATTAGCTGGGTCAGGAACAAATTAGACTTTCTCCTTCTCCAAATGAAAATATCTACTCTCTTCTGCAGGGAAAGCATGTCCTTGGCTGACTGGCTTGCCCTGGTGGAGTCCCCATTGGCCTCTCCGGTCCCAGGCCCTCCGCTGCTTCTGATGGGGGCAGGTTCCCCGGGTGGACTCCTGGGGATAGAGCCAGTGCCACTGGAGGGAGAGGGCATCTGGCCAGCAGGTCGGGGCATTGACCAGTTTAAGACCTGGGAAACAACCAGATGGTGTGGAGAAGGTCACAGAGAGCAGGACCCTAACTGCTAGCTTTGGGTCCCTGTTGGCTCCAGGTTGGACAGCTTGAGAGGTACTGAGTGAGAACTTGTAAAATTTGGTTAAGAACAGGATCTTTGACACGCAGGTAGACTCAGGTTGTGAGCCTAATTTGGGGTTGGGAATGTAACCTTTATAAGCAGGTGTTTCCTGACAACCAAAAAATGGTTTATTCTGGATTTTTTTCCTTTTTTTTTTTTTTGGTGATGTGTGTGTGTGTGTGTGTGTGTGTGTGTGTGTGTGTGTGTTAAAGAATGAGCCTGGAGTTCAAAAGCCAGCTTGGAATTTTGAATTGAGCTTTTGTGCAAGCCTGTAAGAGAAGACTAAATATTCCCTAGACCAGGATCAGGGGAGGAGGCCTTGGCTCTGTTCACCTCGTTTCCTCTACCGTTTGTAGCGTGTGTCCATTTCCCTTCCAAAATGGCTCTCAAATGGCAGACAGAAGAACTCCTCGTGGCGTAAGAGATTGCCATTGGCCACCATGAGTGCAAGTGTAGAATGGTTTTGGAACGTTTTCATCATACTATTTTTAAATCAGGAGTTCCCCAGTATGATATTCATGACAATTCAGAATTTATATAGTTCTATTACCCAAGAGCCCATGGATTTGAGGACAAAAGACTTTTGACATCTCAACTCCGATCCAACTCCTTTTTGGCCATGTTATCCTCTCTTCTGGCTCAGAGATTGGAAACTCCAGCCATTTGGAAAAGAACCTTCATATCCATATTAAAATTTTATGTTTAAGATTCAGTGCCTTATTGCAAGGAAATCCTGTCTCACAGGAAGGTAATGGGAATTTGGAGGTAAAGCTCTAGTGATTCCTGTTCTGATTTCATAGTTGATAATATTACCGAAATCCCTTGATAATACTTATTGCTTTGGATTCCATGGCTGTTTTCTCTGTTATCTTGTATTTCATCAGTTGTTGTTGAAACTAATAAATGTAATTCTTTTGGTCTCAGTGAGCCAACACAATGGTACACATTTCCTTGTACGAGCTCTTGTAAAGTTTCCTGCTCCTTAATCCCAAGCCAAACCCTTGCTCCCAGGAATATCTTAGGCCACTTTCTGGCATTTTTGGGGGGGGACTTTGTGGAGAGGTCGGGGAGAATGAACATGGGCAAGCTCATCCCTCCCCTTGACGTCTAGCCCACTAGACCCTCCTCTTCCCCAGGCTTGCAGCCTCAGGAAAACAGGGCTTTGGTGCATTCCATCCTCCTGAAATCCTCTGCAAGGAGCCTTGTCTCAGACCAGGCAAACGGAGGATAAACCGTTAAAAAAAAAATCAGCTCAGATTTATTTCAAGAAAAGTAGCTTTTTGTTTTAAATTATGTTAATCATCATACATTACATCATTAGTTTTTGATGTAGTGTTCCATGATTCATTGTTTGTGCATAACACCCAGTGCTCCACGCAGAACGTGCCCTCTTTAATACCCATCACCAGGCTAACCCATCCCCCCACCCCCCTCCCCTCTAGAACCCTCAGTTCGTTTTTCAGAGTCCATCGTCTCTCATGGTTCATCTCCCCCTCCGATTTCCCCCCTCATTCTTCCCTTCCTGCTTTCTTCTTTTTTTTTTTTTTAACTTATAATGTATTATTTGTTTCAGAGGTACAGATCTGTGATTCAACAGTCTTGCACAATTCACAGCGCTCACCATAGCACATACCCTCCCCAATGTCTAGCACCCAGCCACCCCATCCCTCCCACCCTGCGCCACTCCAGCAACCCTCAGTTTGTTTCCTGAGATTACGAATTCCTCATATCGGTGAGGTCATATGATACATGTCTTTCTCTTATTGACCTATTTTGCTCAGCATAATACCCTCTAGTTCCATCCACGTCATTGCAAATGGCAAGATTTCACTCCTTTTGATGGCTGCATAATATTCCATTATATATAGAGAGCACATCTTCTTTATCCATTCATCTGTCGATGGACATCTTGGCTCTTTCCACAGTTTGGCTATTGTGGACATTGCTGCTATAAACATCAGGGTGCGTGTACCCCTTCGGAAAAGTAGCTTTTTATTATCAGTCGTTACAGTTGCCTTACCAGTTAACATTGAGCTCAGGTTCTTCACACCCCTTCCGGTTGTGAAATTGTTCTAGGTTGGCTGTTCCTGGTTGGGGTATCGCGTTGTTGAAAAGCTCTGCTCCTGAGTGTGTCACATCACCCGTTTGGGGCGAAAGAAGGGATTATTCTCTGTTGGTAACTATGAAGCCCTTCACATTTTTACCTATACCTAGGCCTCAGAGCAAGAGTTATTATGGATTGGTTTAGCCAGTTTACATGATTGAGAACCTGGGCCTCCTCCCTCCCCTCCCCCGCAACGATTTATCTGCAACATTGGTGCATTCGTATTTCCTCTTGCAGTAAGGCTCAAACGTGCTTCTAGAATTTTCATACTTTTCCAGTGAACAAAATATATACCCATGAGCACCTGAGCCTCAGAGCTGTGTCATTTGGTAGGAAGTGCTGGTAGGGCCACTCCGGTATTTTTAATATTGGGTGCAGTGCAGGGCATTCTAACTGCTCTCCCTTCTCAGGGTCTCACATTATAATCTGGATAAGAAGGCTGTCCAAGCAGGATGAGCAACAGTTTTCAAGACGTGGGCCCTGAATGGGACAAGCGCAGGTCAGAAAGGAGAGGGACAACACAGATTATTTCCAAGGCATCTGTTGTGTCTTCTGTGTAGGTCCTTGGACCAGGCTCTGGGGTCTGGGGATGTGGGTGCAGAGAAAGAGGGTAATAATGTAAGCACATAAAACACATGATCTGAGTTTCCTCCTCCAAAAGGATGCTGGGGGATAGGAGACCTTGGTTCTGGTTCTCTCTCTGTCTCCCACTAACTAGCTGGGTTACCTTGGATCATTGACTTAAGTTTTCTGGAATTGTTTCCCCTGCTTTCTGTGCAGTCAATGGAAAAATTCCCTCTTCTCCTAAAATGGGTCATTTGTAATGAAGGACATATCCTTTCTATACTAGGAGCATGTCACTTCCCCAGTGGTTAGTGAAAAGGGCCCATAGCTTTCATCATATTCTCAGAGAGGCACAAAAAGTTTGTGGATTTTGTCCTTGGATAATCTCTGATTCTTCTCCTACACACAGAAGTCTGGGGTCCACTAACTGTGTCCATGACCTCTCCTGTCCTTGCACCCCTCACTTTAATCCTGTGTGTGCCTGTTTTCTGCCAGCTTTGGGTCCTTCTTGTTCTGAAATCAGTACTGTATCTACACAAACACAAGAAAGGGTGTAATTTTGACCATCTGATGCACTACAGCCAAATGACCTTCAGATGTTGACAGGGAACCAGTCTGGAGAAGTTTATTTTTCGGTCATTTTTTTTTAATCCAAAGGAAAATCTAATTTTAGTTTCTCCTCATAGACTGTGGTTCTAAGTATAAAAACTTGACCTGTCATTCCTGTGAAAAAGCCAGACGGCAGCTTTGGCTTTGTGTTAGTGACCTGGGATTCGGTACAGGGAGGGTGACCCTTTGGCAGTCACCTAAAGCAGGGTTTGGCTAACTTTTTCGGCAAAAGGCTAGATAGTAATAGTTGAGGCTTTGTGGGACATGCTGTCTCTGTTGCAGCGACTCAAACTCTGGTGCTTTGAAAGCAGAGACTACGCAGATGCACGGAGGTGGCTGTGTTCGGTTAAAACTTCATTTACAAAAATAGGCAGCAGGTTGGATTTGGCCTGCGAGCCACTGTTTGCCAGCCCTCATCTAAATAAAGCAGGACTCTCTGGAGGGTGAGAGGGGGAGCCTTTGATTATCGTGCCAGGAAGACCCGGGTGGCATGGGGAGGGTCCGATCCGTCAGCAGCAGCCCTGTGAAAAGCCACAGGGGCGGGGGTGGGCGTCGGGGGGACTTGGGAACGAGAGTCCGCCGGCTGCTGGTCCTTGGAGGGAGGTACACTGGAGGAAACGGACCCACCCCTCCGAGGAGTCTCAGCACGGGGCTGCAGCCGGTCTGGGGTAGGCGTGTGGCAGTGGCAGTGGCGGGCTCCGAGGGGCTTACCCACAGCGTGTCCCGCTCCTCTGTTCTCACAGCACCTGCAGCAGCACGAGAGTGGAGTGGAGGGCGAGAGCTGCTACTACCACTGCGTCCTGTGCAACTATTCCACCAAGGCCAAGCTCAACCTCATCCAGCACGTGCGCTCCATGAAGCACCAGCGCAGTGAGAGCCTGCGCAAGCTGCAGCGGCTGCAGAAGGGCCTCCCGGAGGAGGACGAGGACCTGGGACAGATCTTCACCATCCGCAGGTGCCCCTCCACCGAGCCGGGTGAGTGGTCTTGCGGGCCCGGGAGGCCGGGGGTGGGGGGCAGCCTGTGGCTGGCCGCTACTGGTTCTCGTGTCCGTCACCGACTTCACAGGGGACCCTTGTGTTCCAGAGGGAACATGGCGAGCGTGCTTACCTTTTTTTTTTTTTTTTTTAAACCAAAGGAACACTCAGCACTGCTTTTCTTCAGGTGTCACGGGCCGCTTCCCAGGGAACAGGACACCTGGAGATGTTTTGTCCCCTGTCCCCCAGTTCCTCTGGTTCTAGACTCCACATTCAGTGTGTTGCTTCAGAGGGACGTAAAGCAAATGCTAAATGATGTCGGGCTCGGTGGTAAGAATGGGCGGTTTGTGGCCCCAAGTCCCGTGCGGAAGATTGAACTTCAGAGAGGATCCCATACCGCCAGTGCTTGGTGTAAACGTGTTCACTGGGGTCGAGGGCGGCTCTGCGAGGCATGGCCCTGCGCCTCCTGCTTGTCTGCCAAGAGTCGGGGCCTTCCGGGGGGACCTCGCCGCTTTCTGCACCCGCTCCTGTTCCGTCCTCCTACCGCAGGCGCCTCGTTCCAGTCCACGCCTCGGCTTACCATAGCCTGTCTTCCCCCATGATCAGACCACCCTCAGAGTCCACCATTGATGTTGGATTTACCCAATCCAGTAGCTACCTGCTAGGCCGCCTTCTTTTTTTTCTGTGGTGTCTGGAAGTATTGCCCGGTCCCATCCCACACCTCCCTTCCCTGGGCTCCCAGCCTGTGTTTCTGTCTTGTCCTCCTGCTTTTCATGAGCATCCTTCCAGGCCTGTCCCTGGCTCGTGGTCCGCAGTCTGCCCCACATGCTAACGTCAGCTGGGCATTAGGCCCTGGCCTTTGGCTCCCGGCCTTCTAAAGCTTTGATCTCCTGGCGTTACCAGATGCCATCACGTAGCTCCCTGGATTTCTCCTTGGTGCCACGGCATAGACTCTGAGCTCACCACTGTCCTCTCCAGACTTATTCTCCTGGTGGCATGCTGTTAAACCGGCTGGCCACACTGGAGACTCAGGGCTTTCCTTCATCCGCCCATCACCCGCTGCACTGTTTGCCACCGAGCTGTAGTGGCCCAGTGGGGTTTTTCATCTTAATTTTACCAAATTTCACATTTTTATAGTTTCTAAAGGCAACAAGTTATAGAAATGTAATGAAAAAATGGCATGACCTTCCCTCTCCCACATACCCTTGCCCAGAGCAATAGCTTTCAACTTCCACTTGTTTCTTTTGCTACTCTTGTTATTTCCATATTTCTCAATGTGCTTCTACTACCGTTTCTTTCTTTCTTTCTTTCT